TGCTATATTGGTTAGAAATTCAATTATTAAATTATATTATTATTAAAAATTATTTATTAAAAAATTATTTATTAAAAAAAGTTTGTAATAAAGTTGAATAAATTATTAACGCTATAAACAATTAAAAATAAATAAATAAACAAAATAGAAATAAAATAATTAAATAATTAATATAATTTAATTTATACATAATTACAAATGCAAAAATACAAAATTATTTATTTAAATACAAAATTAAAATACAAAAAAACAAAATTGTTTATTCAAATAAAGAATTAAATGATAAATATTAAAAATTGCAAATATAAATATTTATAATATGGATTAATAAATATAAATGAATAAAATATGAATTAATTAATACAAATATAAATTAATTAATACAAATATGAATTAATTGGCTTTTATGAAATTAATATTATTGTTAATAAAACAAATATTTAAATAAATGCAAAAAGTATGATAAAAATTTTAATTTTATTAAATGTGACGCGCTCCCGAGAAAAGTACCTGCAGCAAAAAATTTTAGGTTATGTTTACAATTTTTGGAGCAAAATTACAGAAAGAGAATCAATTATTATTACAAATTATTAATATTCAAGTCTACATTTCAACGAAAATGTTCAATAAAAACTGGTTTTAAATTTAAATAATTAAAAGGAAATTTTTTTGAATATAAATTCAATACAAACATAACCTATAATTCATCGTTTGCTAAAAGTTAACTTCTTAGCTACTTTCTTGGAAGCGCGACACAAATTTTAATGATTAGAATTGAATTTCTTTTCTTGAATTTTTGTACATAAACATAATTTTCTCTCGTCGTATTCCTGTATAGAATTAAAAAGGAAAAATCGTGCAAAGGAGCAGAAAAGTTTTTTGTTTCTCATATTAAATAAAACATACATGTAAACAGACACGCTCACAATCTTTCTTTCTTTCGACATTCGAAAAAATGTGATATTAAAAATGAAGTAAAAACTCGAAAAATTTCAGTGAAAACTAATTTGAATATTGGGCGAGGCATCAACGATATTGAGGACGCTTCTTTTCTTTTTTTTTTTTTATTGAGGAAAAAGAACCTTCAACTGATATATTAAAAAAGATATTTTTCTTTTTAAAAAATCATAGGCGAAAAAAACGGTTTTCTTTTTAAACGGCTGGCCTCCCTAAATCCTTCGCTTCCCCGCGCAAAGGAACGACAATGAAACAAAGATGACTCAATTCTCAACTCACCTGCGCAATATATATATATTTTTTTTTTATTATAACAAACAAAGTCACTATAAATATCGAGACCGATTCTTCGATCTTTCATCACTTTCACCGGTTTTTCTTTCTCTTTTCATTTACATAATATAATGTATATAATAAAAATATACAACACATAATTCTTTCTGGAAAAAATATTTAAAGAAGAAACACAATCGATTCTCGTGTTTTTTGTTTTTTAAATTGGATAAAAGAAGAATAGCAGAAGCGACGATCGACGAAGGCTTTTCCTCTCCTTTATTTAAAAAAAAAAAAAATTCTTTCTCTCTCTCTCAACACCGTTTTGTTTACTGCATTTTTTTTTTATCGTCATCATCATTATAATCTCGGTCTGTATTTTTTTCTTCTCCCTCTATTTTTACGTTACTTTCTTTTTTTTCATCATTTGGTAAAAATTCTAACTAATTTGTTTTTTGCTTTAGAATAAAAAAATAAACGAACGAAATAGAGGAAAATTAACCAGCGTTTAAAAATTTTAAGCACCGCTAGCTGGCTCCACCCCCTCCTTTTACCAGTGGCCAATGGCAGTGAGATGCATTTTTTTTTCTTTTTACAAAAATCTTGTGCGGGGGGTGATGAAAAAAATATTGGTCCAGTTAAAAACTGCACATTGGCCTAACAAGTAATACATGGGTGTTATATAAATATATTATAAAAAACGAGAATCGGTGTAAAAAAATACGGGTGTTGGGGGTTAGAATATATATATTTTTTTGGGATGTTCTACAGCATTCAGGGAAGAAAAACGTACTTGCAGTTGATCAAAAACTTTGAGACACATCTAATTGTTCTCTCACTTCAATCCAGTTTTCACTCCAGCAATAAAAAAGTTACTCAATCTCTTAATTTCAATCCACGTTCTACAATTTTTTTCTCTCCTTTAATTCAGTCTTTAAAGACCATGAAAAATTACTCTTTTTGTAAATTCTTTCTTTACTGAATTCAATTCAATAATTATTTATTAATTTTGACAGAAAAATTCTCTATTTTTCTATTTTTCCTAACAATGTTTTTTTTATAATTATATTTTAGAAAAGAAACAAAATTATAATAATAGAACTATAAATTAAATTAATTAAATTAATAAAAGAAATTTGATTCAATAAATTGAATAAATAAAAATAAAAAAAATACCGACATTAAATAAGTGAAGAAAAATTTTTCACTATTTTTTAATTCTATTTTTATATTTTCGATTCTTTATTTATTTAATAATTTTATAAACAAGAATGCCTTTATTGCTTTCTCACATTTATATTTATTATTATAATTAATTTTATAAATGCAAAATTTAAAATTAAAATTAAACTTAAAATTCAAAATTTAAAAATTCTTTTTCATTAAAAAATTTTATACAAAAATATTTAAAACTTTATAGTTTTGAATATTTTTGTATAAAATTTTTTTATTCTTTTTCATAAAAAAATTTTATACAAAAATATTCAAAGCTTTATAATTTTGAATATTTTTGTATAAAAAATTTTTTTTATGAAAAAGTTGTTCTTCCTTCCTTGATAAAAGCAAGAAATTGGAATTTGCAAAATTATTACATTAACTTAATAAGAAAAATATAATAAAATAAAAAAATATAAGAATAAAATTTAAAAAAATTGAATAAATAAAGAAAATCGATTTGAAATATATTTGATTATTAGAAAAATAAACTTGACACAATTTTTTTTTTAATCTATAATTTTGTAATAAAAATTAAAGTCAATGATGGAAATATAGCAAATGTTCTTTTCACTCAAAAATAAATATTCTTGACTTGAAAAATATTTTCCTGTAGATTTTAATATTTCGTTTTATTAAAAGATGTTTATCACTTGAATTTAAAAGAAATATTCTAAACGAAAATAATTTTTCAAGAATTAGGAACAAAATAATAAAGGAAAATTTGTCGATCAACCAAATTTAGAAAACTTTGTGATCGATTTTTTTAAAAATAATTCTTGATTTTATGCACTCTTGAATTAAATTAAAAATATTCTTCTTACGATATTTCTGAATTTTGAAATTTTTCTTAATAAATACAAAATACAATGAAAAAAAATTGTTTGATGCAAATAATCGATTACTTTTTGTCGAGTAAATATTTACTTGAATCAAATTAATTTTATTTAAGTAAAATAAATTTTCTTTAAGTAAAATAAATTTTATTTAAGAAAAATAAATTGTATTTAAATCAAATAAATTGTATTTAAGTCAAATAAATTGTATTTGAACCAATAATTTCAGTATTTAAAGCAAATAATATTATTCAATTGCTCGAAATAAAAATTATTTGATTCAAGTAAATATTTATTTGATTTATTTTATTTATTTGACAATAGACAAGTAATCGGTTATTTGTATTAAATACATTTTTTTTCAATCTATATTTACAATAAATATTCGAATCGGAAATTTTCAAAAAACTAATATTTATTGTATTCTGTGAATATTTAATAAATTAACTAAATAACGTAAATTATTAATATAAACTATTCATATAAAAAATACCTTTTCATGACGTGATGAGAATGCAATTAATATTGAAAAATAAATGAAATGCAAGAAATAAAAAAAATAAATTACGAACTCAATGATTCGGTTTTGTAGGTAATTTGCAGACTTATGAGTTGACAACTGAAATGAATTTGAATAATAATAATAAAAAAAAATGTTGAACGTGGAGAAACTAGAGAATGAGGGTAATGAGTGGTGACAATTGGAGAAAAGAAGAGAACGACAGACGATATCATGGATATTCAACTACGCGTCTTTTTGGTCATCGAGCAAATCTTAGTTTAGCTAAGGGACCATACTTCACACACCATGCAGGGGGGTTGGCTTTGCAGCAATATTTATTACCGAAAACATCATTAATTTCCATGTTCAATTCACACTGTAGTTAATTTTTCCGATCAAAATTCAAAAATTTATTTCCAATTTTCATTTAACTTTAAAACTTTTAGCTTTAATTTCAACGGAACTAAAAACAAAATTAAAATTTTGTACTAAAAAATTTTTGCACCTAAATAAAATAGCAAAGAAAAAAAAGTACTGTCACGAATCACGAATTAGCGAAAGTTTTGTCTCTAAATATAAGAAAACACCAGTTTTTTTTTTGTCTGATCGCTGAATAAACATTTTTTTTTCCACGAAATTAAGTTCCCACCATAAAACCAAAAAAATCCCATTTTTTGGTTTTACTTTCTTTCCGGCGTTGAGAATTATTAGACATTTAGAAAAAAAACATGCAGGTGAAAAATAAAAAACTTCGTCTCTAATAAATTTAAAATCGACATGAAAATTATTCCTTTCGAATTTTCCCGACGACAATGTAAAATTTCAGGCTTCGCGTTAATTGCTTGAAATTTGACATCGATGATTCTGCTTCGCCTATAAGTTCACATTTCCCAAGACCAAAAAAAAGGAAAAAAAAATATGAAATTAAAAATAAAAGGATTATCAGTGAAAAATATTGCAATACTAAGAGTTTTTTTTGTTCTAAAAGGGAATTGCAGATGAATTTCGATAATTTCGATTTAGTATTATTTTTTTTTTTTGGAGGATTCTTAGTGAGATGGATTTAGAAAAAAAAATTTCTTTTAAAATCTATCAACAGGTTAAAAATGGTTATTTAAAGGAATAGCAAATGCACTGAAATATTGTTATATAGGTTATAAAGAGAGGTTTGATAATTCGCGCATAATTAAGCAACAAGAAAAACTAGGATTTCTTACCTTGCTTGAACCCTTCACTTCCTTGTCTACTCTGTGGCCGCGCAAAAGTCTCCTCCGTTGCTAAAAAAAGGAAAAAATATTTTATTATACATTGAACAAATAAGTGATAAATAGAAAATAATTAAAATAACAGCGAATAGCAAATAAAATTAAATAAAATAATTTCTTCGAGAGATTAAATAATTATTTTTCTATACTTTACTTATTTTGTTTTTACTATTCTTTAACATTTTTACAATTCATCAATTCTCTACACTATATTCTAATTTTGTAAACTTTATTTTAATTTGTTTAATATTTTGAAAGATTTCAATTTTCAAAAATAATATTTTTCGGAAGAATTTAATTTTTTAATATTTCAATTTTTTACAGGATTTCAATTATTTTTAATATAATTTTAATGAAATTTCACAAAGAAAAAATCAATTATTTCTTAAAATTTTAATAAATTCTTCGAAACAATTCAATTATTTTTTTAAATAGTAAAATTCTTCGCAAAATTTAAATTATTTTTATAAATAATAAAATTCTTCATAGGAATTCAATTATTTTTACGAAGATTCAATTATTTTCTACAATTTTAATAAATTCTTCAAAACAATTCAATTATTTTTATAAATAGTAAAATTCTTCGTAAGATTTAAATTATTTTTAGAAAATAATAGAATTCCTCTCAGGAATTCAATTATTTTAAATATAATTTTAAGAAAATATCACAAAAATATTCAATTATTTAAAAAAAATTTTCCACAACATTAAATTTTTTTTCTAAAATTTTAAGAACTTTTTCGAAACAATTATTCAATTATTTTTATAAATTAAAAAATTCTTCGCAAGAATTAAATTATTTTTATGAATAATAAAATTCTTCTCAGGAATTCAATTATTTTCAATTCAATTTCAATAACATTCAATAATCAATAATCAAATTTTAATTATAATTATTAACAGACACGATTATCTTAAAAAGTTGAAAGAAATTCTTCATGAAATTCACTTATTTTCCAAATTTTCAATTAAAATTAATTAAAAAGACTTAAAGCAATTATTCAAAACAATTTAATTATTTACAAAAACTCTAATAAAATTGTTTAAAAAAATTTAATTTGTATAAATTAATTTGAATAAAATTATTAATTACAATTATTAACAAAATCGAATATATTCAAAACATTAAAGAATTTATAATTATTTTTAATATTTTAATAAAATTCTTTAAATTAAGGTAATTATTTTTAAAAATTCTAATAAAATTCTAAGTACAATTTAATTATTTACTAAAAAGTTTATAAAATGAAATAATCAAATGTTTAACTTGAATTATTAACAAACACGATTATTTAAAAAATTTGAAAGAAATTCTTTATAAAATTCAATTATGTACTTTCAAAATTTGCAATTAAAAATTCATTATTTTTAAAAATTCAAAAAAAGTTCTTCAAAGGAATTTAGTTAGGGTTTTCAAAATTTTTAATAAAATTCTTATAAAAAAATTAATTATTTTTGTAAATAATAAAATTCTTCGCAAGAATTCAATTAAATATGTATTATAAAACATAAACTTCGAATAATTTCAATTAAACTTTCTCAAAAAAATTAATTCCACAGAATTGTTAGTTAAAAATATAAAAAATTTACATTTGCAAAAATTTTAATTTAAAACATTTTAAAATTTCAATTATTTCTCAAAATTCATGCTATAATGCTTTTAATATTCAATTATTATGTAAAATTTTAACAGAAATTCATTTATAAATCAATTTTTATTAGAAAATTCTAATAGAATTCAATTATTAAAATACAAAAATTAATAACTTATTAAATAATTGAATTTTTCTTTAAATTGAATTCTTATAAAGAATTTTATCAACAAATTTTTAAATAACTGAATTCTTTCAACGAATTTTAATAAAATTTTTAAGAACAATTACATTTTTCGAGAAATTTGATTAAAATTTTATTAAAAATATTTGAAATTCTGAAATGCGATTTATTATTTATAAAAATAATTGAAATTTAGAAAAGAATTTTATTATTTATAAAGATAATTCAAAATTTTCACGAGAATTTTTTGAAATTTTTGTAATAATTGAAATTTTGACAAGAATTTTATTTAAATTTTTGAAAATAATTGAAATTTAGAGAAGAATTTTATTATTTATGAAAATAATAATTGAATCCCTTTAAAAATGTTATTATTTATGAAAATAATTGAATGATTGCAAAGAAATTTATAAAAAATTTGTAAATAATTGAATTTTTGAAAAATTTTTATTATTTTATGAAAATAATAAAAATTTGCGTAGAATTTTTAAAAAAAATTTTTTAAATAACTGTATTCTTTTGGAAAATTTTATTAAAATAGTAGATATTAAAAATCATTGAATTGAAAAAAATTTTTGAAAATAATTGAAATTTTGCCAAAAATGTTATTAATTTTTTGAAAATAATTGAATTTTGGAGAAGAATTTTATTATTTATAAAGATAATTGAAATTTTGATGAGAATTTTTAAAATTTTTCGAACATAATTGAATTTTTGAGGAGAATTTTCTAACTTTTGAAAATAATTGAATTTCAGCAATCTTTGTAATTCTCTAAAATTCTCCAAATTATATCGTACAATTTACGAACTTTTCGTCTTTTCTCAATCAAATTTCAGACTCTACGAACCTTTTTTTAAAAATAATTTGTCTTTTACGGGATTCACGGACCTAGTTCGAGCCCAGATAGTTGCATTTCAATAAAAAGATTTTTTTTTAAATAACGTTTGATTACTTTAAACTTATGTGTTTGTTTTGATTGTTTCTTCGATTTCTCGTGTTTCTTATTAACATGCGAAATTGAAAGGCTTTTTATTCAAATGCAATTTTAATTGTGAAAAATGTTAATAATGTTCTAAATTTCATTGCCTTTTAACGAAAATTTATTCTAAATTTCATTGCTTTTTAACGAAAATGTGCAGAATTTAAATTCTGCCCATTTTCGTTAAAAAGCAATGAAATTTATGTGCAGAAATTATGTTAAATGTGCAGAATTTAAATTCAGACCTCGGATCGACTTTAACGAACAAAAAAAGTCCCTTTAGTCGATTAAAAATTAAAAAAAGTCGTAAAAGTCGATTATTTAATTTAGTGTTGTCACAAATATTTTATTTTCTATTTCCCTGATTCTTCACTGATTTCTAAATTCAATTAATCAAAACTTGTGTAATTTTGCTAAATAAAATATTTAAATACTTCTTATTTCTTTTTTCACCAGGAAATAAAATTTAAAAAATTTCAAATTCTGAAATTTAATAATTTTTAAAAATTAAAACTATAACCCTTACAAGAATTCAATTATTTTCTACAATTTTTAACTAAATTTCATTTCTAAAGCAATTATCTATATTAGTACTTTTTAATATTTTTCCAAAAGTTCTTTAAAAATTCAATTATTTAAATACAAAAATTTAATTTTTATAATAATTGAAACCGTTCATTTTTCTTTTTAAAGATTCTACCTTAAAGGTAGAATATATTCAAAGAATTTTAATAAATAAATTCGTAAAATTAACTTTTTAAAAATATTTCTAAATAATTTTTGAGAGACGCAATAGTTTCACAATTACATAACAATTAAGAAATTTTTTTAAAAAATTGAAATTTGGTAAAATCTTTTTGAAAAATAATTTAAATTTAGTAAAATCTTTGTAAAATAATTGAATTTTGCAATAAATTTTTTAAAAATTCCTAAAAAATGGAATTTAGACATAAATTTGATTAAAATTCATGAAAATAATTGAATTTTGCAACGAATTTTAATAAAATTCCCTAAAATAATTAAATTTTTCAAAAAAATTTATTAAGCAAATAAATAATTGAGTTTTTAAAAAATATTTAAAAAATAATCAAATTTTTGATGAATTTTAATTATAAATAATTTCTCAAAAATTCGAAAATAGTAAATTTAAAAAAATTTTAAATTACTTTGTCAGAGAATTACTTTTTTCAAAACTATTTTAATATTTTCATTTTTTTTGTCGAATTTACACTTGAAGATTATTCATTAAAATTTTTAAAAATTCAATTATTTCCAAAATTTTCAATAAAAATTCTATAATACCTAGTTAATTTTTAAAAATTATAATAAAATACTTGAAAAAAAGGATTTATATTCAATTAATTTTACTAAATTTCAATTATTCAAAATCTTTTTAATTGTATATTTCAAAAATTTAATTAGAAAAAATTTTCAAAAATAATTTTTGAAAGATTTATCTACAGCTATTTTTTATACTGTGCGTTAAAATCGAAAAAAGTTGCATCATTTTATACTAAAAATGTGGTATTTTGTCGCAAAATTTGGAAGAAAAGTCGAAAAAGCCGCAATTTTTTAATATAAGTCGATAAAAGTCGCATTATTTGAAAATAGTCGAAAAAATCATAATATCCGAGGCCTGGAAATTCTGCACATTTTTGTTAAAAAGCAATGAAATTTAGAATAAATCCTTTCTCATCAGATCCTCCGGTCCCGATTGGGGAAAGAAAGTATAAAATACAAACCCTGCGCCGATGTGCTGGGAGTTGGCTCAGGTTCCCGTTTGATTCTTTTTGTGATCGAGTCCGGAATGTCGGTACCATTTTCCGTGGGTTCCTCCTGTCTCGACAAGGCGGCGAGATTGGCACTGTTGGGCGTTGCTGCCGCTCCGTTGTTGGCGCTGCCATTGCTGCCGGCTCCACTGGCCGAGACGTCGCCTTGAAAATCAAGACCCATTTTCATCTCCATCATTTCAGGCGAGCCCTGAACCAAATCAGTACTGCTGTGATGGTCCTGGCCCAGGGATTCCAATGGTGTGTCCGACGAGCCGCTCAGCTTCCTTGGTCGACCCCTCTTCCTCTTTGGTGCTGTCAACGCCGATCCCAACAGCGGATGGCTCGACATGTGATGAAACCTCTTTTGCGAGAGGTGATGATGCGAGCCAATTTGGTTTATTCTATGTAAATTCGGTGGAGGTGGAGGTACTGTGTTTTGATTGCTAAGCAACGACGACGTGATACTTGGCAAGTCACATTTGTCCTCGTTCACTTCAGTGAGACCCTTTATTCGCAGGGACTCAGCGACCCTTAAGAATGCCGTCAACCTGTCCTGATCCACACTCACTTCACCTCGGTACATAAAGTCTAAGAGGCTGCGCATATCCACGTAGGGGACATCCTTCAGAATGACTATTGGATGCTTGTCGGGGTGTCCAACGAACAAGGCCTGCAAAACATTCAGAATATTTAGAAACTTCTATTCTTTCTTTCAGGAATCACAGTACTTTTCTTTCCTCCAAAAGGGAACAAAAAGAGGATAAAAATTTATTTATTTATTTATTTATTTGCATATATAATTCAAATTTTTTATCATATAGCTTCTATAACTTTCTAAATTCAATTTTTCAAAACTTGAATAAATATTTAAATAATTATTATTTGTCTTTCCATGGGAAATAAAATAATTAGACAAATTTCAAATTAAAACCTTCTGAAATTGAATAATTTCTTAAAACTACAATTATAACCCTTCCAAAATTAAATTATTTTCTACAATTTTTAACTAAACTTAATTTCCAAATCAATTATTTTTCATTTTTCTTCCAATTATTTAAATACAAAAATTCAATTTTCCACAATTATTTTAACTGTAATTGTTTATGGTTCTTTTTTTATAAAAGTTATTAAGATGAATAAATGAATTACTGAAAATATTTAAACAAAAATGTTGAAAGTAACTGATTTTTAAAAAAATATAATAAAGAAATTCTTAAAATTAATTTTTAAATAATTTTTGAGACTTTATAGGTTTTTAATTTATATAATTGAAAAATTTCCATATAATTGAAATTTGGTAAAATCATTTAACAATAAATGAATTGTTGAAAAATATAAAAAGAAAAATTTTTATGAAGAATTTTAATTTTAAAAATGAACATGATTTCTCCAAAGTTTAACAATTTATAATAATTAAAGATGACCGAGTGATAAGATCATTATTTTGTATTTTAAGAAATATTTTTACTGTAACTTTTTCAAAATTATTTTCATCATTTTAATTCAATTATTACCTATTTTCTACAATTTTTTAAATAAAATTCTTCTTTAAATCAATTATTTACAAGAATTTAAAAAAAAAATTCTGAGAATTTTCAAATGTATTTGTTCATAATTAAATTTTACAAAATTTCGACTATTCAGAAATTCTTCAATTAAATGTATAATTAGAAAATAAAACCTTCGAATAATTTCAATTAAACTTTTTGAAAAAAATTAATTCTAGAGAATTGTTAGTTAAAAATATGAAAAATTCAAATTTTCAAAGATTTCAATTTGAAACTTTTTCAAAATTCAATTATTTCCAAAATTCATGCTATAATGCTTTTAATATTTAATTATTATGTAAAATTTTAACTGAAATTCACTTTTAAATCAATTTCTATTAGAAAATTCTACGAGAATTCAATTATTTAAATACAAAAATAAATAATTTATAATTGAATAATTGAATGCTTCTTAAAATTGAATTCTCATAAAAAATTTTATGAATAAATTTTTAAATAATTGAATTCTTTTGACGAATTTTAATAAAATTTTTAAGAATAATTACAATTTTGGAGGAATTTGATTAAAATTTTATTAAAAACAATTGAAATTCTGCTAGGAGTTTTATTATTTATAAAAATAATTGAATCCCCGCAAAAAATATTATTATTTTTAAAAAGAATTCAATTATTTATTATTATCATTATTATTATTATTATTTATTGAAAATAATTTAATCTTTGCGTAGAATTTTATTAAAATTTTTAAAATTATTTGAATTCTTTCGGAAAACTTTATTCAAAAAGTAAATATTGAAAACCATTGAATTAAGGAAAATTTTTGTAAATAATTGAAATTTTTTTGCAAGAATTTTATTAAAATTTTTGAAAATAAATTAATATTAAATTTCGAAGAATAATTTCATTATTTATAAAGAGAATTGAAATTTTGACGAGAAATATTTGATATTTTTGAACAAAATACTATATTAAACAAAAAAAACTAAACTTTTTAATTAAACAAAAACACTATTCTAACATTTTTCAATAAAATACTATATTGCTTTTAATATTTAATTATTATCTAAAATTTTAACTAAAATTTATTTTTAATTTTATTAGAAAATTTTATGAGAATTCAATTATTTAAATACAAGAATAAATAATTTTTTCAATAATTGAATGTTATTTAAAATTGAATTCTCATAAAGAATTATGTCAAGAAATTTTTAAATAATTAAATTCTTTCGACGAATTTTAAAAAAATTTCTTTAAATAATTACATTTATCGAGGAATTCGATTAAAATTGTACTGAAAATAATTGAAATTCTGCGATGAGTTTTATTATTTATGAAAATAATTGAATTATTTGCCAGAAAATTTATAAAAAATTTGTAAATGATAGAATTCCTGTGAAATTATTTTATTATTTATTAAAATAATAATTAAACGTTTGCGAAGAGTTTTAATAAATTTTTTTTAAATAATTGAATTTTTTTGGAAAATTTTATTAAAATAGTAGATATTGAAAATCATTAAATTTAGGAAAATTTTTTGAAAATAATTGAATTTCTGCGAAGAATTTTATTACTTTTGAAAATAATTGAATTTTGGCAATTATTTGAAACTTATCAAAAATTCAAATTTTTTTTAGTGTTTTTAACTAAAATTCCTCAATAAATTCATTATTTTAATAATTAATTAAATATGTACATTAAAAAATTGAACTATAATTTCAGAATAATTTAAATTTTGAAAATTTTTGCTAAAATTTAAGTTCTTTAGAATTTCTAATTAAATTCATTCAAAATTGAATTTTTATAAAATTTGAAATTAAAATCTTTTGAAGTTCATCTATTCATGAAAAATGTAAAAATGTAATATTATTTAAATCATTAACATAAAAAAACATATTATTATTATTATTATTTTATTTATATTATTTTCTGGTGTTAATAATCTAAGTCAAAAATAAAACGCACTGAATTCTATAACATTGAGTCTAAATTTTATAATTGGGGCATTCCACGCCAAGTCGGACACCTTTTGACTTTTGCATCTCCGATTTTTTTCAAATATTTTTTTTCTTTTAGTGCTCGTTGAAATGAGCTACCATGATTTTTTTCAAATTTTTTCATTAAGCGGTTTAAGAGATACAGGTTTTTGAAAAATCACGTTTTTTACGTAAATTTTTTTCTGAAATGCTTATAACTCGGACAAAAATTGATCAATTTTGACGTTCGATATATGAAAATTTTTGTTTTTACACGTAGTTTTTGATAAAAATATTAAAAAATTTTTTTTTTAAATTTACCAAAAAAAATTTAAATTTTAAAAATAAAATTTAATTTTTAAGAATGTATGTATCGATCGATTTTTTTCAAAATTTTTTGTAAGAAACTGGTACTAAATTAAGAATTTTTAAGCCTAGTCTGATGATGGGCAAACGATGGGATCTATTTGTTTCTGATTTTTCAATTTTTATATTTATAGCTAAAAGTATGAAAAATGAATTACAAGACGTTCAGGATATTAATTACTTTATTGTAATTTTGAGAAAGCATATTCATATGTAGAAAAACATTTAATTTCGTGACCGTTTAAATATTTTAAAGGTTTGAGATGTAGCGGATGAACGCAGCGCGTAAAATAGAAAAAGGCCAACGCACAATGAAATCTTAAGACGTGAACTTATAACAAAACAATGAGATAGAAGAGGACAGGAGCTTTGTCTGTCCTTCTCTATCGCATTCTTACGATAATTCATTCATTTTTCATACTTTTAGCTATAAATATAAAAATTGAAAAATCAGAAACAAATAGATCCCATCGTTTGCCCATCATCAGACTATGCTTAAAAATTCTTAATTTAGTACCAGTTTCTCACAAAAAATTTTGAAAAAAATCGATCGATACATACATTCTTAAAAATTAAATTTTATTTTTAAAATTTAAATTTTTTTTGGTAAATTTAAAAAAAAAATTTTTTAATATTTTTATCAAAAACTACGTGTAAAAACAAAAATTTTCATATATCGAACGACAAAATTGATCAATTTTTGTCCGAGTTTAAGCATTTCAGAAAAAAATTTACGTAAAAAACGTGATTTTTCAAAAACCTGTATCTCTTAAACCGCTTGATGAAAAAATTTGAAAAAAATCATGGTAGCTCATTTCAACGAGCACTAAAAGAAAAAAAATATTTGAAAAAAATCGGAGATGCAAAAGTCAAAAGGTGTCCGACTTGGCGTGGAATGCCCCAATTACACTTTGAAAAGATTTCAAAAAAATAAAAACTTTATTTTTTATTACAAAAAGGTGAAATAGGGGACAAATCACCAAAAAAGGGGAAGAAGGTGACAAATTGTTAAAAAAAGGTGACAAAATTGAAAAAAGGGGAAAAAGGTGACAACCTTTTTTTCCTTTTTTGGTGATTTGTCGAAAAAAAGAGGAAAAAGGTGATAAAATTGAAATAAGTGGACAAAAGGGGAAAGGGGGACCAACTGTGATGGCTGAATTTGTTTGAAGAAATTTTGAAATAATTTCTTAAGAATTAGCCAATAGAATAAGAGTATGTAAATAGAAAAAAATATAAAAAAATAGAGTTACCTGAAAATAAGGACTACACGCCGACAGAACCATCTTGTGTGCCCTGAGTAGCTGGCCTTCGACCGCCAGCGTAACATCGACAAAAGCCTCGTCATGAAGCAATTGATCGAAAACAGAAAGCAAATTGCTTTGATGGTTGTTCCAGCGCAGACAAAACCTCTGCGATGCCATCGCTTCGCTTCTCAGATCCGCCAGGTTCCCGTTAATATCCGCTAACATCAGACCTAGTGAAGGACCTTTTTCCCAGTGTAGCTGTCAACGCCACCACCTTGTCGCTTGTTCTTCTCGTTTTTCTCGATGAATCTCTACTCTCTAGTGTCTTTACTCGAATTCGTGTATCCGCCTTCATCGGCCACGATATCACGTCCTCTTTCCTCTCGATCTAAAACAAAAACGCAAATACACATTATTCCAAATGTCGGTAATTGCCGGTAAACGATCTCTACATATTCATTCTTTCCATCAAAATAAATAAATAAATAATAAGTGGATCTCAAAGCATTTCGCTTTTTTTCAATTATTCGTTTGCAGGATTGACACAAAAATTTAATTTCTTTCTCCTGATTTCCAGACAAAATTTTGACTTTTCCCCTGATCCTGAAGAATATTCTGATTCACTCCAAAAATTATTAGATACTCAAAAGAAATCTTCTATTACATTTATTTACAAATTTCTTCAAAAGTAAACTTATTCGAAAACATCAATAACTTCCTTTTTAAATAAATATTTAATCATTATTATTTTTACATAGGAATTAAGATTTTCAACAACTTCAAATTCAAACCTGAGTTTAAAATTCAATAACTTACAAGAATATTTTTATGAAACATAACCGATAATATTATTGTTAATGTAACTTCTTCAAAATTATTTTTATCATTTCCAATTCAATTAATATTTTCTGGAATTTTTAACTAAAATTCTTCTTTAAATCAATTATTATTTAATAATTTTTAAAAAAAAGTTCTTTGAGAATTTTCAAATCCATTTGTTTAACATTCAATTTTACAAAAAATTTCGATTATTCGGAAATTCTTGTATTATATATATTTAGAAAATAAAAAATTCAAAGAATTTCAACAAAAAAAATCAATTAAAATTCATCAAAAAAAATAATTTTACAGAATTAATTTACAAAAGTTAAAAGTTTGAAAAATTCAGAATTTCGAAGATTTTAATTTGAAACCTTTTTAAAATTCAAAGTTTTCTAAAAATTCACGCTATAATGCTTTTATTATTCAATTATTTTATTTTTTATTTTCATTTTAAAATTCAAAATTTTAAATACTTATTTTTTTATCTAAAATTTTAACTAAAATTCATTTTTAAATCAATTTTTATTAAAAAATTCTTTGAGAATTAAATTATTTAAATACAAAAATAAATAATTTATTGAATAATTGAATTTTTCTTATAATTCATAAAGAATTGTATCGAAAAATTTTCAAATAATATTGAATTCTTTTGACAAATTTTAATAAAATGTTTAAAAATAATTACATTTTTCGAGAAATCCCATTAAAATTGTATAAAAATAATTGAAATTTGAATTGAAATTGAATCCCTATAAAAATTTTTATTATTTATGAAAATAATTGAATTTTGAATTGAAATTTAATCCCTGTAAAAAAATTGTATTGTTTATGAAAATAATTGAATTATTGCGAAGAAATTTATAAAAAAATTTGTAAATAATTGAAGTACTGTGAAATTTTTATTAAATAATTCAATATTTTCATAAAATTTTATTAAATTTATTTTCAAATAATTGAATTCTTTTGCAAATTTTTATTAAAATAGTAGATATTGCGGAAAATTTTTAAAAATAATTGAAATTTAGCCAAAGTTTTATTACAATTTTTGAAAATATTTGAATTTCGAAGAAGACTTTTATTATTTATAAAGGCAATTGAAATTTTGACAAGAATTTTTAAAAATTTTTGATTATAATTAATTTCTGCGAAGAATATTATTACTTTTGAAAATAATTGATTTTTTGCAAACATTTTGTCACTTCTCCAAAATTCAATGGTTTTTTAAAAAATATTTTTAACTTAAATTAAAACTTTAATTAAAATTTTTCAAAAATTTAAGTTTATTAAAATTTCTAATTAAATTCATTCAAAATTGAATTTTTATAAAATTTGAAATTAAAGCTTTTGAAGTTCATCGATTTATGAAAATTGTAAACACAACTTTTTTAAAATTCAACTAATTTTGAAATATTCCTGTGAAATTTTTATTATTTATGAAAATAATAGAATGTTTGCAAATAAAATTTTATCAAAATTATTTTTAAATAATTGAATTTTTTTGGGAAATTTTATTAAATTTCTTTATTTCAATAAATTTGAATTTTTCTAAATATTTCTTAAAATTAAATTTTTTAAAAATATTTTATCAAAAAGTTTTTTTAAATAATTGAATTTGTTCGACGAATTTTAATAAAATTTTTAAGAATAATTGCATTTTTCGAGAAATTTATTTAAAATTGTATTAAAAATAATTGAAATTCAGCAACGAATTTTATTATTTATAAAAATAATTGAATTGCTAAGAAGAATTTTATTTCTTATGAACATAATTGAATCCTTGAAAAGAATTGTAATATTTATGAAAAATAATTGAATTCTCGCTAAGAATTTTATTAAAATTTTATTAAAATAATTGAATTTCAGTTGAAAAATTTTTATTATTTGTGAAAATAATTGAATTCTTAGGAAGAATTTTATTATACTTTTGATCTAAAAGTATTTCGCGCTTTTGAAATTATTCCTTTAGCACCAGGCGCCATTGTCCCTACATCCGCTACTGCGCGAACACTACCGCATCATTTTTTATTCCTTTTAAAATTGACTTCATGAATTTTTTTCATTAAACATACGACTAATTAGTCAAGTCATCAAAAACGTATTACTTTTTAAATTAACTTTTTTCCTGTACATTAATTATATACAAATTTCTTTGATATTAGAAAAAAAATAAACAGTTCTTCATACTTATTTTCAAGATCTCTATCTTTAACGCATACATATTACGCGTTCTTTTTTTTCTTTTCTTGCAATCACCCAGTGCCATAGATTATTAATTACCATATTGCATCATACATTCCCATTTATACAAAGTAGCCTAGAAAACAAGTTCGCTCCTCATATTTATATGTCAACAAAAATCGTGACTTTTTCGGGGAGAAGAAAAAATTTTTTTGTCGGTAAAAAAGAAAGTTGGGTTTTCGTGTAAGAAAAAAAATTAGGACTTGCTTGGTGGCCAAAATGCTAAATTTCCATTTTACTAAATTACAATTTTACACAGTTAGAGGTTAGGTTCGAAACACTCAGTCGGTAAAACAGTTTTTCTGTGTGTGGTTTAGCGAAATGGCAATTTAGCATTTTGTCCACCAAGCACTTAAATTGTCGGTAAAGGAAACTTAGGTCGATAAAGAAATTTGAAAATACTTTGATATTATTTCCTAAGGTGGAAATCAAAGTCAGAGTTCTATTCATAAAATAGGAGAAATAAAAACGATGACCGTGTACATATATTGGTTTTGAAAAAAGTTGAAGTGAATTATTCTTTTGAAAATCATATCCCCCAGGCGGCAAAATGCAACTCGTCTAACGCCCAATGTTAGGTACGCACCGCCTGTATGCATAATACATAAACATAAATGCTTAATATGATATCGCATGCGGCGTGGGTGTACGACCCTGGAGGACGTAGGAGCAGAGCAACGCAAAGCACAAAGCCACAACGGGGCAGGCAACTCACTCGTTTCCATGCCTTTTATGTAATTTTCCCCTGTGCCCCCTTCATCCTCCCTACACACAAACATACACCATCAAGACTCTTCAAACCAATGACGAATTATTTCTATGTTACTGCCTGCTATGCGTGTATGCGCATCACACTTTACTCAAGACCTGTCACTTTTTTTTTCATTTTACTCCTTTTTTTTCTATTTCGCTAAGCGTCAACGAAATCAAACACTTGCCTATATATATACACACACGGTCAATTTAAGAAATACAATATTTCAAACTCAATCTTGTCATTCTTGTCTCGAGATGAATAAAACGAGAAATTGTGCAATTCGAATGATTACAACAAAATAGAGAGGGGGGGAGGGAGGAATGATGACGTTTCATAAAGTTGTAAATCGTGTCTACTATTTGATAAAATATAAATAAGTAAAAATGTCACAAAATTTAATTTCATTTTATTGCAGTATGTATAGATAAAATGGGTGAACATAACCTCAAAGAAACGATACGATTGGAAAAAAATTATCAAAAAGATGTTATTTTTTTTATATAATAGTGAAAAAGCACGAAAAACGTGCTAAAAATAAATAAAGATAAAGGAACATTCTGCATTAAAATAAATTGGAAAATTAAATTTTTAATATATTAAATCGATTATTTTTAATACTTTTCGAAAAAGTTCTTTGATAATTCTTCAATTCTTTTGTTCTTCAAATAAAAACTTAAAATAATATAAAAAAATTCATTTAAGGGCATTTGAACCTTGATGACGTCACACATGCTTTGCACAATCTGTAACGTCATCAAGGTTCAAATGCCCTTAAAATTTTTCAAAAAAATTAATTTCAAAATTCAATTATTTCTAAAAATTCACACTAAATTGCTTTTAATATTCAATTATTATCTGAAATTCATTTTTAATTCAATTTTTATTAGAAAATTCTACGAGAATTCAATTCTTTAAATACAAAAATAAATAATTTATGGAATAATTGAATGTTTTTAAAAATTCAATTCTAAAATTGAAAGAATTTTATTAATAAATTTTTAAATAATCTATAAATAATTCTATATTCCTAATAATATTCAATTATTATCTAAAATTTTAATTGAAATTCATTTTTAAATCAATTTTTATTAAAAAATTCTATTAGAATTCAATTATTATTTGAATACAAAAATAAATAATTTATTGAATAATTGAAATTCAATTAAACTTTTTGGAAAAAATTAATTCTACAGAATTGTTTGTTAAAAGTATCTTGACAAATTTTAATAAAATTTTAAAAAATAATTTCTTTTTTGGAGAAATTTTGATTAAAATTGTATTAAAAATAATTGAATTCCTCTAAAGAATTTTATAAAAGTTTTTGTAAATAATTGAATTACTGTGAAATTTTTATTATTTATGAAAACAACGAGATGTTTGCGTAGAATTTTATTAAAATTTTTCTTTAATAATTGAATTCTTTTGGAAAATTTTATTAAAGTTAGTAGATATATTAAAAATCATTGAATTGAGGAAAGTTTTTGAAAATAATTGAAACTTTGTCAAGAATTTTATTAAAATTTTTGAAAATAATTGAATTTTGGAGAAATATTTTATTATTCATAAAGATA